TAGCTGCTTGGATACAGTACTCTAAATGTGGTCTAACATATATGGGGTATAAAATTCGAAACGTTTCCTCGTCAAAAGATTTGAACGCTCGGCGAAGTGACCATAACGCACGAAAACCTTTGACAGCGGCTGCTTTGCAATGCGCAGTTGTTTTTAAGTCATGACTTAATATTACTCCTAAGTCCTTATGCTCTTGAACGCATGGAAGAGGTTTACCCTCAATAGTGTAACGGTAACTATTACCGTGACCGACGTGCATTAGTACACTCTTCCTAGCATTAATTTCTAAGCCCCACTCTCGAGCCCATCTAACTAAATCGTCTAAATCAGCTTGAAGATCCACATGATCAGCCGCACTTTTTATTGTTCTCCAGATTTTTACATCATCTGCAAACAATAATGTCGACGACCTAAGTAACAGTGGTAACTCATTAACGTAGAGAAGGAAGAGCAGAGGGCCTAAGATGGTGCCTTGGGGTACACCACTTTTGACCGGCTTCCAATCGGATAGCGTTCCATTGACCCTAACTCTCTGTCTGCGGTCACATAAGAAATTTCCTATCCACTCATGTACAGTACCTATTATTCCGAAGCTCGTGAGCTTCTGCATAAGACCTACGTGTGAAACCTTGTCAAACGCTTTGCTAAAATCTATGAATATCACGTCGACAGACAGACCGTGATCTAGGGCTGCTGTCCAATCCTCCCTCGCAATAAGCAAGTTAGTCAAGCATGAACGCTTGTTACGAAATCCGTGTTGCTCAGGAGCTAACAGATTGTGTAAATCTATGTGGCTTAGCAACCTAACCCGAATTATCTTTTCGAGTAACTTAACGACTATGCTAGTTAGACTGACAGGCCGGTAGTTAGATACTATCTGTCGCTGACCGTCCTTAAATATAGGACTAACTATAGCGTCCTTCCAATCTCTAGGGAGTTGGGCGAGTGAGAGGGACATGTTGAAGAGTGTCGCAAGCGGTTTTGAAATAATGTCCGCAAGAGATGACAGCAACCGTGGATGTAACCCGTCAGGGCCCGGTATCTTACCAGGTTTGAGGTTAGTTATCAACGGAAGGACAGTTTCCTCAGTCACCTGTACGGATTCAATGGTTGGTATCTCGGTGTGAGTGGGACAAGTATTTGTTACAATAAACGTAGAGAAGACTTCGCTAAAATAATCTGAAAAAGTCTCAGCTTTTGCTCGATCTGATTCAGCTAGTAATTCTGAATTTTCGTGTAACAGCAACGGGGGAATACCATCACTACGTTTCATTTGCCGTTTAACATACGAAAACAATCGTTTCGGACAAGTACGGCTATCATATACTAACTGTCGTTCGTAAGTGGTACGGGATTTCGCTATGGTTTTCTTACAGATATTACGGTATTTTTGATACTCACGCTTAAATGGTGCATGACCTGTCAACAAGAATAAGTCCCAGAAATGTTTCCTACGCTTTAACAGCTTCCGGGTTTCCTTATTAATCCATGGAGGGCAATGTGATAGCTTACGTGCTGACCATGGGATAAACGGCGACGTTACGGACTCGAATGTAGCCTTAAACTTATTCCATTCATCTTCGATCAATCCATCCGCGTCGACCGACCAATCGGTCGAGATAGCACGGTTTCTGATTTCCGGAATATTAGCTCGCCAGATATTGGGACGGGGTGGAGCAGATACGAATTGTATACCATGTGTCCTAAACTTAAAGTGAATTACAACGTGATCACTGTTCACTAGTGGAGGAAGGTGCTGGATATCAAAGACATCCTCAGAGTGGTGGGTGAGGGCGAGGTCCAGCAGTGACGGAACATGATGCAAATCAATATGTGTCGGTTTTGTGATACATTGTACAAGTGCACACTGAATAACGGTAGATAAAAGGTCGCTATCGAAACCGCTACCTGGAGCTGTAAGCTCTATCCAGTTGATATGCGGTGCGTTGAAGTCCCCAATGATGAGACAACATTCTGCCATACTCCAAGAACAGATGTGTCTTAGGATAAAGTCGTCAGCCAGACAAGACGGACTACGGTATATTCCCCCTATAGTCACTAACCCATTTCTAGATTTAATCTTACAACATGCAACCTCACATGTGCCACTGATATGAGCCTCCGATATGGTTGATTGTATACGAAAGTGATCCCTAACGTAAAATATTATACCTCCCCCTTGCGACTTGAAACTCTATCACTTCTGATACAGATATAACCAGCAATGAAAGGAGAACAGTCTATATCAACGGTGAACCAAGTTTCTGTAACAACGATTATATCGGGACATAATTCTTGCACCATCAGACTTAGCTCGGACGTTTTATTTCTAAGACTACGAGCGTTCGTGTAGCACACACTTAAGGTGTTTTGGAAATCAATCGTTCTACCCATACAGGCCTCGGAAGCATTGGCTTCCAAGACCTGACTACCCGAAAACCCTTAATGGTAAGGTTATTTTCGCCATTTAATTTGCGAGTCCTCAACTCCGTAAGAGCATTCTTCCACTTGATTCGATCCTCAAGCGGCCAATCTGGTCGAATACGGATATTTGAGGCACGAGTTTTTTGTGCGCTTTTCAATAATATGTCTCTTTCTTCGAAACTCCCGAGAACCAGCTTCAGGATCCTTCTTGGTTGGGTCTCGCCTCCAACCCATTTACCAAGTCGTATTACTTTTGTAATATGTACCCCTGAAACCTCTTCAGGTAGTACATTCCTGACCACAGACTCCACTAACTGTAGGTCATGTGCGTGTCTTTTAGCAGGGTCGTTGTCTTTCGACTCCTCTAGATTCCAAATAATTAAACTAGGGATGGGTTTAGCTTCTTTTGAAACTGTGTTCACAGCTTTCGACCGTGACGTTAGATCCTGTATTTTAACTACTGGTAGCTTACGATTAGTTTTTATTTTAACAGAGTCCTGGGAGTCAAGCGAATGACTCACAACAATGTCAGACGAAGCTTTACTATGAGACTTTGGCGGATTGGTCTGAGAGTCCACCAAGGACTTACCAAGTAAACAGTCATTAGTTTTAGCTATCTTTCCTACTCTTCTGCGTTTTCGCGTCATCCATTTTCCATCAGTCGAAACGTCTACATTAGAACAACTCGGGACAGTAATTGTTTTATCTGGGTCACCGGTTGCTGCTGTAGCAATATGGCCACCAACGTCTAATGACGTGTCACTCACTGATCGTTTCGGGGGAGAACGTTTAACTGTGGGTTGCACAGGTAGATGTCTGGCTTGCGCCGTGATAGCACTTACGACACTAACGCAATCTTCGCCATCCGTACCAATGTTATCAGTACAGCCCTCATCAACCTTCTTATTAGCCAACACCAGGAGACTAATTGCTTCCTGGATAAGCAATGTTTTGCTCGAGCAACAAAAACTACAAAGCCAATGAGAGTTGGGCTTTGAACACCTTTTATATGCAGTGGGGCTTAATCGGGTGCACATCTTATGGAACCACTTATTACACTCATCACATTGCATCCCTTCATCCACGGGAAATAAGCAGTATGGTTGTCCACATTTATGAGTAGACCTAGCCATCTTGAAAATCAACTAGAACGGTGACGAAAACAGGATATGTAGAAGGATTTTCAAACCTTAACTAAATAAACCAAGTAAAAGTCGACCAAGTATGCTTCGATGCAATAAATACACAGAAGCAAAATCGAAAAACTCAATAAAATATCACTTTAACTGGGGTAGATGCAATTAAAGTGTAAACAGTAGTTTTGATGCGTAATTTACGATCAAAACAGTTAATTAACTCAACGAGAAAGAATACCACTGTCCTTTAAAATAGCGTGCAAATCATTTTACTGCCCCTCAAATGCCCTGTTACGACAGAGGGCGTGGAGAGTCATCTCTCCCTCTCCAAATGATCTCACATCACGTGCATACAACCACTGACAGGGAAGTCCCACTCAAAGCCTTCTCACAGCGGACGTGTTCTTTACGAAATTCAGAGGATGAAAACCAAATGTCCGGCGCTTTAACCGGGTTCATGGACACGGAGAGTCTACCTAGGGAAGTTCGAAAACCATGATTACAAACAAATGGTGCATATGGGATCAAGTATTCTGAAGGAACAAATGCCATATGAACCTATTGTTGGTTACCGGTTGCGATGGGACTGCATCTCCTTATGTTGCTCTACTGTCTTGTTGATCAGACATTTTGGTCAAAGGTTCCGGTTGTGGCCACCTAAGAAAAACACCTGCTTTAATCTGGGTACCCGGACTGTATCACAGCCTACACACAAATCAAGTGACGTGTGTGACGCACATGTGTTCGGTGCCTCTTTGTACCAATGTTTATGTTTTTAAATAACTAAGTGAAATAACCTATCTATTTTACTGCATAAATTCAATAATCATGATAAATTATCTAGTTCATAAGATCATATTGTTTTCTGTTCTATTTTCTTTATATAAACTTTATTTATTTTATGTCGAAAGACAAATATATTGATCGATTTGTTTGATCATGAATAGGTACTTGAAATGAATACTACTTTAGTTCAATACTTAAGCTTATTGTTTACTCAATTCTTTTTCTTTTTTTTAAATATGAAAAGTTATTATTCTCATTTTTTGTTATAGATTTAATATAAATGTGTTCTCTTAGCAACAATTCAAGATTTATCATGATTACATTCATTTTTTTAAATGTTCATTTCATTCAAATCATTATTGGGTTGGTTACAATTTCTCATAGGATTTCATGCAATACTCTTCAAGTATTACTTTTATATATGAAAATTGTATTAATCTGTAATGAAAAATTTTATACCATTTTATTGAACAGGGGTGAATATTAAGGTTAATTAAACATCTCATTATTTTTTAACAAGATCTATCTTTAAAATGATCATTATAATATTGATGATTCAAAATTATTTTCTATATCATCTTTGATCTTTCTTTATCGTTCAATTTGTCTAGTTGACCTTTTATTTTAATTTTTTGTTAAACATTGATGTCATAGCAATTATCTGAAATGTTTCCAGCTATTGTATTTGCCTTTTCAATGGATCATCTAAAATTATGTCAGTTCATAGAAGACGAACAAAATGACATGTTCCACTTTCTTGATGTTGCTATAAAACGTAGGAGAGACGAGACAGTCCAACGTTCGCTTTATCGAAAAAGTAGTTGGAATGGCCTTTACCTGAATCTCAATAGTTTTTGTCCACTCAGCTACAGGAAGGCTTTAGTTAAAACACTATTTTATAGGCCAGAAAAGATTTGTACCACTGATAAGCTGGAAGAAGAATTGGTGAACGTACAAAAATGCCTACGAGACAACTATTACCCACAAAAGTTTATTGACAAATATAAAAAGCGTAAAGAAAATAATACTGAAGTAATTACTGTCAATAAAAAACCAATAACTGTAAGTCCTAACTTCAAAGGTGATGATGTTGCTAACACAATCAACAGGAGACTCAATACTGCGCTAGACAGAACCTATCCGGCGGCCAAACTTCAAATTCTGTATAAAATAACATGTTCAATAACTCAATCAAAGGTTGATAAGCATCCTTTTCATGTTACCGTCAATTGTATTTATAAATTTACATGTACCTGCCAAAGCAGCTACATTGGCCGAACAGAAAGGAGGGCATATCTCAGATTTTTTGAACATGTTCCAAAAATCCTCAGAACAAGAGAAAGAAAGACTCTAAGTAGTGCAATCACTAAACATCTCCTTGACACAGGACATCAGGTCGATACCTTACAATCACTCAAGGTGATTAGTAAGCAGCCAAACTCCAGTCTTCTGAAGTTTGCTGAAGCAGTTGCTATCAGGCGCCAAAAACCTGATTTATGTGTTCAAAAGGAGATGATTGTTAATCTTTCCCTGCCTTGGTAACAAATATTCTTCCGCTGCAGCTTAAATTTTTTTATTTTTTAATTTTTATCTTTTATATTTATTACGTCATTGATTTTATTTTTTCAATTATCTTTAAAAATTAATAATCTTTCAACTGAACTCTACTCACTATATTCCTATCAATGTTTATTCATTATGTAATCAATTGTTTCTACCCCTTTGAACTGTTGACACAATTAATGCTCTAGAATATTCTTTCACATTAGGTATATATTTACAATATTTAGCCTATTAATTTCATTTACACCCATGTCATACTTTACGAATATTTCTTCAATATAAACCCTCTCATGTAAGCAATTTAAACCCATTATGTAATTATTATCTTTTTAAATGCCACAGGTTGTAAGCAGCTGACGAGAACCTACGAAATAAAATGAATTCATGTTATTCTGCTAGAATCTTTGTTCTTGCTCTTTTCAAAATGATAAAGGGAACTATGTGTATGAGACTGTTTTTTTTAAAAAAGGTTTATATTATTGTTAAAGACAGTATTATTATAATTACCACTGTTGATCTCCCTTTGATTGAATTATTTCAGTCTTTCTTAGTATAGAGGCTTTTAGAGCAGATGCTTTGATACTACAAGTTGCTACAAGCTTTTCCATATTGTCTGATAGTAATTCAACGTACAACATTTTCTGGCTTTCTTTGTGACACTAATTCAGTATACATAGCGTTGAAACTTGAAGTGATGGGTGTTTCAGTTCTATACTCAATATGAAAATCAACATCACCCCGATGTACTTATCCTTAACTGAAGTCCCAACTAAAGTGAAACATTCATCAGAGCTTTCAGTACTAATAACTATCAAAAGTAGTTACTTACTTATTTACTTACGCCTGTTTCTCCAAACAGATCATAGATCGCCGACCAGCATTCTCCAACCCACCTAGTTCTGAGCCTTCCTTTCTAGTTCTATCCAATTGTTGTTCATTCTTCTCATGTCTATCTCCATTTCTCGTCTTGATGTGTTCTTTGATCGTCTACTTTTCCTTGGGCCTTGAGGATTCCAAGTGCGTTATGATGAAGTTGGGTGCTTTCCTCAATGTATCTTATCCACTTCCGTCACTTCTTCTTGATTTCTTTCTCCACTGGAATCTTATTTGTTCTCTCACGCAGTTTTTTGTCAGTGTCTAATAGTGTTTGGCCAACGGATCCGAAATATTTTGCGTAGACAATTGCTAATAAACACTTGTACCATCTGTATGATGGCTTTCGTAAATCTCCAATTATCCGCCCCATACAGTAGAACTGTGTTGATATTTATGTTGAAAATTCTGACCTTGGTGTTGGTTAAAATTTGTTTTGCGTTCCAGATGTTATTCAATTGTAGATATGTTACTCTTGCTTTGCCGATACGCGCATTCACATCTGCATCAGATCCACCCTGTTCATCAATGATGCTGCCCAGATATGTAAAGATTTTTACATCTTCCAAATCTTCTCCGTCAATTGTGATTCAATTGGTGCATGCTGTGTTGTATCGGAGAATCATGCTTTTCCGCTTGTGTATATTGAGACCCACTACTGCTGAGGCTGCTGCTACACTGATCGTCTTCTGTATTTGTTGTTGTGTGTGATAGAAGAGCCATATCATCTGTGAAGTCTAGATTGTCCGGCTACATCCTAGTTGTCCACTGTATCTCATGCTTCCTCCCAGATGTTGATGTCTTCATGATTCAGTTGGTCACCAGGAGAATGAGGAAGAGTGAGAGTAAGCAACCTTGCTTAACACCGGTCTTTATTTCTAATCAGTCTGGCAGCTGTTCTCGATACACGATTTTACAGTTTAATCCATCAAAGGTAGTATAATATAAAAATATCTAAACAAACTTGATGAAATCTGATAAAATATTCCTTTTCTAAAATTAAATAATAAATAAATGCATAGTTTTAGGACATTTTATTTGATTATTCATTAAAATTCAGCTTATAAATTAGATCGCAATCAAATTGTTTTCATTGAAAATAATGCAATACAGTTGTTAGGGTAAACATAAACATTTCGAAACTATTCTTAGTTAAATTCACTTGGTATTGTTTACTCGAATATTCCCATTGATGTTTTAGGACTGAAATTGATCGGTCTCTTATTGGAATATGTGCATACTGTGCGCATGCCTCGAATATTGCCTTAATTTACAAGCATTATAAGCAAAGATGGATAGTGGCTGGCAGTGGAATCCAGGACGCGCGTTTCGTCCTGTTTGGGACTCGTCAGCTGGATGTACCTGCATCTCAGAGTTGATGTTCACTCTGGGACTCGAACTCAGTACCGTTCGCTTCAAACACCATCGCGTTATCCACTTAGCTACTGAGTACTGATAGCCACTTGCTTGTGCAATGGGGTGAAGTTTAATTCACTTGGTACCGTTTTACTTGAATCTTCCCATTGATGTTTGAGGACTGAAATTGGCAGGTACATCCAGCTGACGAGTCCCAAACAGGACGAAACGCGCGTCTTGGATTCCACTGCTAGTCACTATCCATCTTTGCCCATAATATTCTTAGTTAAGTTTTTAAATTTTCAAAGATATTTGAATTACCTGAAATAATTTAATAATAAATACATTTATGTTAATTGATAATACTCCTCTTTCTCTCTCTCTAAGCTGAACGACTGTTTTTTTATTAGTTAGCAGGGGTTTTCTTTTGTTATTTACAGTCAGCATAATCTTTAGGTAGAGATAACTACTCTAACCTGTACTTAATTAAGTAAATAATCATTTTGTTGAAATGGAATAATATTTATTGTTGCTAAACACTAATAGTTGACATTCTGTATATTCATTTTTGTTGTATTCAACCTTAGAATGTTTTTCAATGAAAACAATTATTCAGTAGTTAATCAACAGAGCTAGAAGTTAATCACCTTCAGAGAAATCATATTAATTAAATTTCTTTCTAAGTTTGTACTTCAACTGATTCTATTTTCTTTATAGACTGTACTTTTCCATCATCTCATTTGTTTTATTTTTTTTAAAAAAGATATACCTTCATCCTATCAAGAAAAGTAGAAATAAAGTGATCTTTTGGCTGACTACTGTATTTATTTATTCAAACACATAGATACTGGTACAAAGAGGCACCGAATATATATGCGTCACACAAGTCACTTGATTTGTGTGTGGGCTGTGATACAGTCCGGGTACCCAGATCAAAGCAGGTGTTTTTCTTAGGTGGCCACAACCGGAACCTTTGACCAAAATGTCTGATCAACAAGACAGTAGAGCAACATAAGGAGATGCAGTCCCATCGCAACCGGTAACCAACAATAGGTTCATATGGCATTTGTTCCTTCAGAATACTTGATCCCATATGCACCATTTGTTTGTAATCATGGTTTTCGAACTTCACTAGGTAGACTCTCCCTGTCCATGAACCCGGTTAAAGTAACGGACATTTGGTTTTCATCCTCTCAATTTCGTAAAGAACGCCCCTGTCACAAGAAGGCTTTGAGTGGGACTTCCCTGTCAGTGGTTGTATGCACGTGGTGATGTGAGATCATTTGGAGAGGGAGAGATGACTCTCCTCGCTCTCGGCCGTACCATGGCATTTGTGGGGCGTTGATTGTTGACCAGTTTCTAACTATTTAGCTCTCGCTCAACTGTTTACTGATTTAACTGTTTTATCAAGTATTTTAGAAAAACCATGACCTGTTAATCACTAATTTCGTTGTTTTATTACTTTGAAAGAAATGTCCCCTGAATATACTCAAATTGTATTTTGTTTAAATGTACTGTAACTCAAAGCATATGTCTTTCTTATTTCTATAACTATACTGAGAGAGTTCACTCTTGTTTGAAAACTCAGATTTCGATCTTATAAAGAACTTGAAGTAATTTACATGTAATTACATATATAAACTGTGCTTTACTACAGCCTAACTTGACGCTCAATTTTATTAGAATGAAAGTAAGTTGAAAGATAAAGACAGCTAAATCAAGACGTAACATCAGTCTATAGAGTCATTCACTATTGATCTCAGCTATGTTGATAATTGCAGACTATGTATTTAGAGTTTCTGTAATAGTGGCGATCAATGCTTGGAAACGTTGAGTAGAACTCTTTAAAATCAGTTTCAGTAGGGCAGGAAGATTGAGAATCTTTCTTCATTTAGATCGTGATTTTAAAAATTTTCTTACACCTTTTATTCCATTATTTCATTCCTTCCTTTCTGTTTCAAATGTTCTCAACTATTACTGATAATGTGACTAATTTTAATTCTCTGATTTTTATCTTAATAATTTAAGACTCCTACTGTTTTCGTCTTGTAAAGACTCATCGAAAGTAGTATACG